TATCTTGTTACACGAATGTTGTTTGTGGCTCAAGATGACTTTATGTCATCCATAAGGGATGCATTTGACATATGTTTAACATATTATAGCCCAACAAGTTACTTATAGCACTTTAAATATGAGCAATCGCTTTTTGGCAAATACCGGAAATCAGTTTTTGGCAGACAATCACTTTTTGGCACCGGGACGCGAATGCGGGGAGGAAGGCGAGGACTCCGCTGGGTTTCCCTTTTACACCACTTCGCTGGATTTCTTAGTTATTTGTGACTTTTTTTTTTTTACCGTGGCGGATGCCACTGGACTTTTAATGTTGATTTTTATTGTGTTACCCCTTGGCCAGGGTTGTTTTAATTGCTTTTGCATTTTTAACTGTTTGTATAATAAATTATATTTTAGTGATACAGTTTTTAATTCAGTGCATTCCCTTGGCTGCTCCACTGCTCGGTCCGTTTTTGAGGAGGGTTTCCCTTCTAGAATAACACCTGTGTTAAATCACAAATGCCTCCGTTACACACGCTCAATAAGTTTTAACAACTGTGTGATGTTTACTGAGTAAACTATTCACGGCACGTCACACGAAGGTTTCCAGGGGGATTTGTCTCCTCCCAGTAAGAACTTTCTGCTTTAACAGTCTAACACACATCCCGAGTCTGTGCTGCTCACTGAAGTCCAAACACTTACTTTTATTATACTTTCTTCCCAACAGGCCTTTTATTCCTTGTGATCTCGTCGCTCGTCGTCAAAGTAATGGATGTAATTTAATTACTCGCCAGAAAGTCATTTGTTTCTCTATCATTAGCTGAAACTCGCTGTTACATAATCACCAGTTAACAGTACAAACCTGAGGCCACACACACCAAGACGAATCCTGAGGACACAAACAAAGTTTTCCTTTATTATCATCAGTGTTTGCTCACCTACGAACACAACAGCTGAACGCAGCTCTGCTCCTTCCATGCGGTAAAAACCAAAGTAACGTCCGTGTCTCCTCTCCTCAACATCTGTAAACAGCTCCACCATTTTCCTCCGCCTCCTCCAAACTGAAATCAGCTGACTGTCGCCCACAGCCAGAGAGAAACACGAGTGTCTGTTTTTCTTTCGGTCCGCAGATTATTATCTATCTATTATCTATAATTCATGAGTTTGCTTTTCTTTTCTTTACTCCAAGATCTTGAACCTGCGGGAAAAAAAGATTCTTTTGTGTACTAAATTGTAAGGATGAAAAAACCTCAGTAACCGCAGACTGACCAGCAGAGGTGGCACAAGTGCACATTCTGTACGTAGAAGTACAGATACTACAGTTAAACCAACATTTCAGTAAAAGTGGAAAAAGTACTGAAATGTACTCAGAGTAAAAAAGTAGAAAGTAGCTCCTTGAACGATTCTACCACCTATGCACAGGTAACTTCTGCTGTGTAAAAAAAAATAAAACGAATACTAGTACATGAGAATACAAATGTTATTCACTTCTAAGTTCTGATGAACGCTCTCAGCTTGAATCTGTTATTTAGGACACTGAGCACCAGCCCAACACAAGCTGACCTGTTTATCCTGAGCTGAACTATCAGCGTTTTCATGGGACTGAATCACACAAAGTTAGTTTTCTTAGTTTATTAAGATCAGTTTCTTGATTAGTAGCTTCCCCTTGTGTGTTTGTCCTCTGTGTGTCTGTTTATGTGTGTGTCCTTGTGTCTTCTTTCCCTTTTCTGTTCCTATGTTCTTCTCCTTATGTTTCCATGCCTCTCCTTCCCGTCATCTCTCTGCGTCTCGGTTCCCTTAACTGACTATTTATTTATTTCATTGAAGTCATTTCTAAGCTCTTTGTAGAAAGAGAAAGAGGAGGGAGACGAGGAACCATCATGGAAGGACAGGCCCCTGCACGGTATGTACCACCGGCAGATAGAGGAGGTGGCTGATATCCAGAAATCCTACCAGTGGCTGGACAAAGCTGGACTGAAAGACAGCACAGAGGCACTAATCATGGCAGCACAAGAACAAGCTCTGAGTACAAGATCCATAGAGGCTGGGGTCTATCACACCAGGCAAGACCCCAGGTGCAGGCTGTGTAAAGATGCCCCAGAGACAATCCAGCACATAACAGCAGGGTGCAAGATGCTAGCAGGCAAGGCATACATGGAACGCCATAACCAAGTGGCCGGCATAGTGTACAGGAACATCTGTGCCGAGTATAACCTGGAAGTCCCGAGGTCAAAATGGGAGATGCCCCCAAGGGTGGTGGAGAATGACCGAGCTAAGATCCTGTGGGACTTCCAGATACAGACGGACAAAATGGTGGTGGCTAACCAACCGGACATAGTGGTGGTAGACAAGCAGAAGAAGACGGCCGTAGTGATCGATGTAGCGGTTCCGAATGACAGCAATATCAGGAAGAAGGAACACGAGAAGCTGGAGAAATACCAAGGGCTCAGAGAAGAGCTCGAGAGGATGTGGAGGGTGAAGGTAACGGTGGTCCCCGTGGTAATCGGAGCACTAGGTGCGGTGACTCCCAAGCTAGGCGAGTGGCTCCAGCAGATCCCGGGAATAACATCGGAGATCTCTGTCCAGAAGAGCGCAGTCCTGGGAACAGCTAAGATACTGCGCAGAACCCTCAAGCTCCCAGGCCTCTGGTAGAGGACCCGAGCTTGAAGGATAAACCGCCCGCAGGGGCGTGCTGGGTGGTATGTATGTATGTATGTATGTATGACCCCTTTTCTACTCCTTTCGCTGATATCAGGACTTTCCTGCATGAGTCAGTAGCTGATAACACGCACACAGAACACTTTCTGTTCAGCAGTGAGCTCAGCCTCATGGAGGGGCCGCCCTCTGAGGGGAGGGACACAAATGTTTATGCACCTCTCTGCATTTAATCATTTCTTATTATTGATCTCTGGCTCTCTTCTACAGCGTGTCTTTGTCCTGTCTTCCTCCACTCAACTCCAACCGCTCACGGCACGTGGGCGCCCCTCCCTGAGCCTGGTTCTGATAGACGTTTCTTCCTGTTAAGGACGACGATTTTGTCAGCATCAAACCGCTGCAGCCTTCTGAGATGCAGCCAAGGCAGTTTTTATTTTTTCTCTGGTCCGACCAACGAGTGCTGAGTAAAGCAGGGTTTTACACATACAGGTCCTCTGACACATTACAACACTGCACGTAACACACACCCTCACACAGCAACAAATAAATTGACTTTAATGTTCAGGTCGTCTGTTTTTGTGAGATCCACTCAGGTTTCTTCCTGGTTGTAATGGTAGAGCAGCTTCAGCCTGAATTAAAACTCCCTGAAATTTTCACCAATACATGAAAGTTTCCTTTTTAACGCTGTCTAAATACAGTTAATTTGGTTGTTACCTGTCGGATTTTATGCTTTGTTGTCACAAAAGCTTTTCAGTGTTGAATTCACTTGCATTTGTTTAAAATGTGTTACAGCACATTTGGCTGTAACAGGAAAGTGAAACAACTATAGAACAGAATGAGAGAGAGCAGTTTTAGCACCACACACACACATTCACACATTCACAAAGAGAAATCAGCTGCCTGAAAACAATGAATTCATCAATGTAATGAATACAAAACCTCATATTCTCCTTATAAAAACTTTATATGAACCTAAGATTTCTTATACAACAATGAAAGTTATGAATTACTCACAGGGTGGAGCAGGATTGCTGTCCATGTTCGCCTTTTACTTTGTCTCTGCTGATGTTCTGCTGCAGACCGCTTTCCTCTCAGCTGCGTGACTTCCTTCAGCCGCCTCGTTGGCAGTGCTCTGTGTTTCTGCAGCAAAGCTCTGTCACAGTTTTAAAAGCTTCCTTCACGTCACATCAATCAGGTCATCTGATATTGATCGTTTGCCTGGTCTTAAAAGCACATTCAAGCAGACGTAGGAGCCTGTGAGATGAACGAAGTCTGCAGTCAGCAATATTAAACCTGTGCGGTCAGGAAACGCTGACCTAACAGATCATCATGATCCTGGACAGATCAGCAGTTTTGCACTTTCAGTTTCTGTTCCTTAACGTTTCAGTCTTATGTTGCTGTAGTTTTTTTGCAGTTTTGTGCCTTTTTAGAAGTATTTTGTGTTGGTTTCCTCATATTTACATTCAGTTATTTTGGTTGTAGTTCAGTAGTAGCTCGGCTCCTTAGCTCCAGTGAAAAAGACGAAGGAGGAACGTTTTTTGTTTTATACAGTGGCTTGCTAAAGTATTCGGCCCCCTTGAACTTTCCCACATTTTGTCACATTACAGTCACAAACATGAATCAATGTTATTGGAATTCCAGGTGAAAGACCAACACAAGCCACTGTATTTATTTTTGAAATAAATGATGGTTTAAATGAAAGATTGGGAACAGTTTCCTCTGGGTTCCTTTTCAGGTTACAGATTTATTTTCATTTTAGTTGAACGTCATCTGTCAGACACTCTGCTGATGTGCTTCACCTCTCTTCAGAATCAGGAGTAGATGGTTGTTCGAAGCACTTTTAGTGACACGTTGGACTGATTTAACAAAGACAGCAACAAATGATCTGATGTGAAAAGCTTCAGGTGTGTGAAGAGTGAGGAGGAGGAGCAGCGAAGGCACCTGAACACCACAGAAAACACCCAAAATATTCAAAACAACTTTATTGTCCACTTTTTGTGTGTACAAAGTAATTAGTCTTTGATTCAGTCACATGAACACATCACACGCAGACAGGACAGCGTGCAGTGAAACACATGATCACATGTTTATGTTTTATCTGTCTTTGGTCTTTTGCTGTGCACTTTGGAAATTCATGTAATAAACCTTTAATAAACTAATGGAATAAAAGAGTCACATCAAAGAGTTTTTCTGTGTTCGTTCCTCTCGGCTGCTGCCTTCTGTGTAACCTCCACCATGGTTCACTGTGCAGCCGGTGATACTGCAGTCGCTCAGGAAAAGGAGAATAAAGGTGGAGAAACTCCACAGACAGCCTCACTCTGTAGAGCCTGTTGATGAAGAAGGTCAATCAGGAGACGTTTACAGCTCACAGCTCATCGGCTGTGTCAGGAGGTGAAGCAGGAAGTCAGCCTGTTATTGATTATTGATTTATTACCTCTGATTCTCTGCTGGAGTGAAACCTCCTTCTTCAGTGGCCACAAACGAGTGACCAGGTTTTGAGCATCCTGGTAATGTTGAAAGTCAGATTCAGGTCTGACTGTCACAGCGTCACGCTCGCAGAACCTGAGGTTCTTTCTCAGATCATCAGAATCAAACTTCAGCACCTGGACAAGAAAATGAACAGAGAGAAAAAGACGAGCAACAGTTTTACACAAAAAAAACCTACAAAATGAAACTCAAACACAACTGAAACATTTAGTTTATTTACAGTAAACATCATTTATTCATCAAACCTCCAAACACACCAGCTCTGGCAGAAACACACAAAGACCAAAAACTCAGAAAGACAAGAATCAAAAAGCTTCCTCCAGCTTTACGATGATTAAACACAATGTTGCTGATGCTTCTGCAGGTGTGTGAGGAGGAGGAGCAGTGAAGGTACCTGTCCTCCCGCCACATGCAGGGCGATGGCGACGTGGTCCCAAACATAAAACTGAGGATCCTGAATCAGCCCCCAAACTTCCATCAGGTTTTTGTCACGTCTTTGTAAAAGCACATATCTGAGAGGAAGCAGCGTCTGAATCAGCTGACAGTGTTAAAGGATCAGGAACATCCACCAAATGTTGTCTGAGTGTGTGTGTGTGTGTGTGTGTGTGTGTGTGTGTGTGTGTGTGTGTGTGTGTGTGTGTGTGTATTGTAACATCTGTTTCTTACTTGTGTGTCTCACACATGGCCTCGGGCCTCCAGGTGAAGCGCCCGTCCCTGTAAGCACAGATGGTGTTCGGAGGGTCATTCAGCATGGGATACTCAGAGAAGAGCTCGTCATTGGCTGAGCTGTGGACCAGCACAGCATACATCACTTCCTGTCTGTACAGGGAAGTCCTGAGAACACGCATGACGGGCGGGCGGCCGGAGCAATACTGGAAAAAAACCATGTTTTGATGACAGACTCACACCAACTACACCGGGCTTCATCAGTGAGCCGGGGCGTTGCACAGACGTCTCAGCCAAACACATAATACACAAAATGTTTCACTGAGGTGAAGCTGACCAGCTAAAACAGAAAATCAGTGATTACATGAAGGAGTCAGGGAGCTTTTTCAGTCTGAGGGGCTACACTGACAAAATCAAGTTTAAAAATCTTCATTGAGCTAATTAATGTTAATTTACAGTGAAGGAGTCCGTACCTGCTCGCTGTAGGCCTCCAGCACCTCCTGCACCGTGAAGGTGAAGCGGTACGATCCATACCTGGACTTCTCACTGAAGGCTGGAGACGAGGCAAAGTCCACCAGGAAGCCCTGCTTCTGCCGGGCCTGCTCCTCGGTCCAGTTTGGGAAGGCCTCCTCCAGGAGCCTCCTCTCAGCTGATTGGATCTCCTCTGGTGCCACAGCCAGACTCCACCACACCAGGGACAGTCTGTCTGGATCCTCTGAGCCGCTCTTTGGATCCTTGAAGCCTCCGTCATTCTTGATCTCTTCTAATTTGTATGTGTCGTGTTTCAGCCGAGACACGTGAAACTCAAGTGAAACCTCTCCAGGTCCGGGGTACGGAGGGATGTCGTCTTTGTAGAGGTACTTCTTGTACAAATGAGTATCTTGAGCTTCCTGTTTCAAATCATTCAGCTTTAAATGCCTCGCTTTATAATGTTTTTGTTCTTTGATGTTTCCTTGTCTCTGCATGATCCGATTTGGATGATGTCGATGAAAAAGACCGTCCAGACCGTCAGTGTCGCTCTGCTGATGTGGAGAGCAGCTCTGACAGCTCGGTATATGTCAGGCAGTGTCATCGGCTGCTTATCTGGAAATAAAAGTTCATCTTTGAACACACACACAATAACACACTGTTGTTGTAATCAGCATGATCAGCACTGGGTGTGAGTCACGGGAGAAGATTTCTTTAAGCACCCAGCAGTGATTACTAATTATAGGAACTCCCATACAGGAGCCTGAGAGCTTTGTCGCAGACGCGCTTTCTAAGTTTGATGATTAGGCTGAAGATTTCCTCTTTGATGAAGCTGGAAACACAGACAGTATGATAAGAAGTGTGTGTGTGTGTGTGTGTGTGTGTGTGTGTGTGTGTGTGTGTGTGTGTGTGTGACCGTGTGTGTGTGTGTGTGCTTTCACCACCCTCTGTAGTGGTTTGCGGCTGCTGGCAGAGCAGCTTCTGTATCAAACTGTAAAGCAGCTCGTCAGCAAGCTCTCGATCGCACACCTGTAGAAATTTGAGGTGATGTTTGCGTTCATGACAAACTTCTTCAGCTTCCTCAGGAAGTAGAGTCGCTGATGAGCTTTCATGATTGCAGTGTCCGTGTGGAGGGTCGAGGAGAAGTCCTCGGTGACATTTACTCCAAGGAATTTGAAGTTGCTGACCCTTGGATGGGCTGGTGTTCCTCGACTGGTCGTTTCCAGTAGTCCACTATCATTTCCTTTGTTTTGCTGACATTGAGAGGCAGGTTATTATCCAGACACCACTTGTACAGCGCCATCACCTCCACTACAGGCCGTCTCTTCGTTGTCTGTGATGAGGCCTATGATGGTTTTGTCATCCACAAACTTGATGATGGTGTTGCACTTATGTTTAGCAACACAGTTGTGTGAACAGGGAACACAGGAGGGGGCTAAGCACACGACCCTGTGTTTAAAATAAGTGTTGAGGAGGTGTGCTTACCAACTCTCACCACCCACAGTTCAGAATCCATCTGCAGAGACGTTTCCAGCCCGAGGTCGACGAGCTTCGAGGCAACTTTTGGGTTGACCTTTTGGAAAGACCATCTCACATCTTCTATTTCGAGTATTAAGGTTACAGCCTCACTGCCTGCCTGAGGGAAAAGGACTTGCTTTATGTTTTCTGCATCAAAACGAGCGCAGAATTTGTTGAGCTCATCTGCAAGAGACACGGTGGACTGAACGCTGCATGCTTGTTTCCAGTATAGCCTATCAGAGTCTATGAATTTACTGATGTTGCGATCAGCAGCATTCTCAAATATCTGCCAGTCAGCTGTCTCAAAGCAGGCCTGTAAGACCCCCTCAGCCTCACTGTCCCATCTGTAAATGACCCTGGAAACAGTTTTGTCCTGTTTAAGCCTCTGTCTGTATGCAGGCAGCAGCAGTATGGGACAATGCTGCCTTGCCAAAGCTGGACGGGGGAGGGGTTTGTAGCAGTGATCCAGTGTTTGATCACTGCTGTAGGGACGTTTCTTCATGTTGGCTCTGTTAAAGTCTCCCAACACAATAAAGGCAGCTTCAGGATTTTTGTAATCAAGTCCTCTGATGACGTCATACAGGATGTAAACAGCTGAAGGAGAGTTCAACTGAAGGTCAGCAGCTGGAGGGTCTGAGTGCAGTGCGTTTTTAAGATACACACATCCATAGCCCACAAAGATTTAACCGTGAAGCACACACCTCCTCCCCTTTTCTTGCCTGAGGTCTTCGTTCTGTCCCCCGGTACAGGCGGGACGCTGGGCTGCAGCCATGTCTCTGTGCCTGATGTCCTGTTTAACACGCAGCTCGTCCAGTTTGTCGTCCAGGGACTGAACGTTTGCGAGCAGGACGCTGGGCAGAGGTGTCTTCAGTACCACGATGTCGAAACTGCTGTAAAGTCCGCACCGGCTGATGAACGCACCGAATACGTGGTTGAGCCGCACGCACAGAAAGAGGAAGTAGCGAAGAGTGAATAATAAAGTTTTGCTGAGATGACTCAGAGCTCTGCTCACTCAAGTCCAAACATGTATTTTATTACAAGTTCATCCCAACAGGCCTTTCACTACATGTGTAATTACACATCAGAAAGTCATTGTTACAAACGCGCTGTTACATTATTACCAGTTACGCGTGTGAACCTGAGGCCACACACCAACGATCCCACTGAAGCTTTCCTTTAGTATTATCAGCGTTAGCTTACCCGCGCTCTGCTCCTTCCACGCAGTAAAACCAAAAGTACTGTCCGCGTCTCCTCTCCTCTGTGAGCAGCTTGACCTTTTTACTCCCTCCGCCTCCTCCAAACGGAAACCAGCTGTGTGTCCTCTTTCCGTCCGCAGATCGTCCTGCACATACTGACGAGACTTCCTAACGACACACAGATACCTGTGGTCAGTAGCGGTTTTAGATGCGGGCGACACGGGCGGTTGCCCGGGGCGGCATCACGGGCATCGGCAAAAAAATATATAAATTGCTCGTACTCCTGCTGCCCCGACATCAGCCAGCGCATACTGGGAATGGCACAGGCACCGATCGGTTTTCTGTCGCCCGTTTGCTGGGAGTAAGGGCGCCCTCCGTTTGCGGCGCAGGAAGGAGAGGGCGGGGCGGCGGGGAGTCTCTGACCGGCTGGAGCAGCGTCTAATAACCAACCCGCAAAATAAAAGAAAATAAAAACAAACCAACAAACACGAAAACAGCAGACATCATGATACTGACTCATAATCTGCACCGATGTTTTTTCGAAATTCTGTACACGAAAAGTGAGCGCGAGAGCTCTCGGTGCGCGTGCTCGCTGCCGAAGTCAAAGTAAACTTTATTGTCATCTCCGCTACAGACAGTCCAGGATATAGAGACGAGACGACGAGGCTGCAGTTACAGCGGTGCAAGGAAACAAACAATGTATATAAGACTCGGGGTAAAGGATCAATAACGAGTTAAAATTTACAGTTTGATGATTTAAAGTCTCACACAACCCGTCGAAAGGGGAGGAGGGGGGGCTGCTTCCAAATAGAGCACATTTCATTTATAATGATGTAAATCCAAGACAAGTATGGATTCATGATCTGAATCCTGGGTTGTGTGAAATCCCAGAAATAAACCTTAGACAAAGTGAATCTGTGAACTAAGGTGTAGGTGTGTTAGATCATGTTGTGGTGATCCTCGGGTCGAGATGGGTGTTCATACTGGAGTGCAAAATTAAAACCAAGATGGACAAGAAAAGTTCAAAGCCATCAAGTGCACAGTTTAGAAAAAAGATAAAAGAAGAGGAGGAGAAACGAGCAAAAGATGCAGGTGTGTGATTGGATAATGGCAGGTCATCCTGCACCAATCAGAATCAGAATAAATTATTAATCCCTAAGGAAATAATGTGGGTTACAGTTGCTCCAAGAAGAAATGGTAAAAATAGTAACAGTAACAGACTAAACTCCAAACAACACATTATGTTACAGATTTTAATATTAATTAGTCTTTGTCAATTTGTCCTGTTCTCATTGTGTGATGCAGTATGATGGCTGTTTGGTAGCTGTTTGCATACTATGCATACTCTCTCTCTCTTCATATGTGTGTGTACAACAGCTTTATGTTAATGTACAATCCTTAATATGTTTTGTGTGTGTGTGTGTGTGTGTGTGTGTGTGTCTGTGTGTGTGTGTGTGTGGGGAGGGGGGGGCAGAGGGAGTGTTCGCCCAGGGCACCAAACGGGCTAGGACCGCCCAGCGGCGGCCTGTTTGGTGCCCTGGGCGAACACTTTTCTGTGATTTCACATGTTTGTTGAGCTGATAGAAACGTTTCTCCCTTCATGCTTCTTCTGCAGCCCCGCTCGAAGCTGATACCACAGACAGACACCGGCGCTGCTCCCAGTGCCAATAAACGGCGTCGTTGTACCTAAAGATAAAGAACACATAAAAGTCTGTTTGATTCCAGTTTCTCGTGATGTGAATGTTGTTTGTGTCTCAAGATGATTTTATATCATTCATGAGGGATACATCTGAGATGTGGTTCACATATTATAGGCCAACAAGTTACTTGTAGCAGCTTACATAACAGGAATCACGTTTTGGCCAAACCCCAGTTTAACATAGAAATGATACTGCTGAGCCTAAAGAGACGAGTTTTGATCATGTAAGGAGTAGAAAGTAAAAAGTAGTCCAAACTTCAGACAAACTTCAAACTACAACAATGACAATGTGACTGTAGGAGAGACCTGACCTCACTGATGGAGCCCCACCTGCTGCTGGCATCCACGATTCTCTTTAAACCAACCTAATGGCTGATGGTAGATTTTTGCTTCAGCTGCTGCTCGAGCTGCACTCTGCTCCTCCTGCCGTCGACCTCCAGCGCTCAGAGATCAGGTAGGTCGTTCCTCCCAGTCACAGCCCGGTCCCCACATGGAGCACCTTCCAGGAGCCAGAGAAGGGTGGTGCTCTTAACTATGTGTGGTAAACCCACAAGAGGCTCTGACAAGCCCCGCCCACAGGTCCAACTTCAAGGTGGGGTCAATCAAATTAGATTAATATGTCTCAGAGCTTTTCAATATTATTCTAGAAATATAAATAAACTAACCTTTGTGTTTATAATTAATTGTACGATTGTTCTGTTAATAAATACACAAATTCAGATTCAAAAGAACTTTATTGTCTTATTGTATAAAAAAGGTAGAAATGTGTATGAAATTCAGGCACATGAACACGCTGCATAAAAACACATAATCATACATGTTCATCCCCACAGGGACATAATTATGTATCTGTGGTATTACAGGAAGTCGTATATCTGAAATCAACTAATAAAATGCCAAAGCGAAGCCTGTGAAGCAGTTTTTCTGTCTCCGCCCCTCCACTGTTACGTGTATAACCTCCACCGTGATGGAGCATAGAAGTGGAGAAACCCCACCCACATGAACCAGTGTCGTGTTTACACTTAACAGACGACCAATCGAAGAAGCTCTTTTAAATTGTGTCTTCAGACACTTTGTTACCAGCAGTCTGGAAAGCATCTGATTGGCCAGAGTCTCAGTTTTTAGCACGACAACAATCCCAAACACACCGTCAGTCATGGATCGGCCTCCTCAGAGGAAACATCAGCATTTCCAAAGCAGTGTGAGATCATCGTTGTATTTCTTTAGCACCAAATCACAACAACAGTAACCTCGAGGTGTTTCACACTGCAAGGTAAAGACCCCACAGTGATACTGAGAAACCCCAACAATCACACATCACATGACAAAAGGCAGAAACATACAAAGAAGAGCTCTGAATGAATTCAGGAAGCCTGGAGAAGGATTCCTGAGAATAAAGGTGGTCACCCTAAATGTCACACAGCACCCATAAGAATAACTAGAGTAACAGTCGTAATAATAATAATACTGTATATAGTTTCACTTTCTGAAATGTCTTCTAATCTTAAATTTGCAGACTGGTCTCCTGCAGACAGGACAGAGTGACAACGTCCAGTGTTGCTGATGATTTGACAGTGACAGTGCGCTCACACAGAGGCGCTGATGCTTCAGCAGCGCGGCTTATCGTTGACAGCATCAATAAGACTTTAAGCAGCTCTCTCACTATTTTGCTTCTTATCGAGGTGCCTCAAGCTTTTTGCACAGCAGTGTGTTCGTTTGGCTTCTTTAAAAAAGGAAAAGTTTGCAGAAGTTAAACCCGATCGTTGTCTCACAGCACCGAGTCTTGAGGCCTCTTTAACACTGCTGTGGGGTTTTCTTCCCCTAAAGAGAGAGACCTGTGAGAAGGAGAGAGGCAGAGGAGGAACTGAGACGGAGGAAAGATGAAGCCAACGCTCCAGAAGGGAAAACTGCAGTTCCTCTAGCGACCACTAGAGGCTGGTTCAGTCCCCACAGACTCCAATGGTAAAATGTTCCAGCAGAAATAAACAGGCTGCCTGACGTAATAAAAACTATGTGGAGTTGAGTTTCTGTCATATAACTTTAAGGTTTGTAACTGAGAGTTTTATTGATTTATTACCTGCAAAATTCTTCTCCAGTGACGACTCGGGCCACAGACTTTCGATAACGCTCTGAGCTTCCTCAGAATCATCAAAGTAGAATTTCGGTGCGATGGTCACGTCGTCTCGCTCACAGAACTTGAGGTTCTGTCTCAGTCGATCGGAGTCGAACTTCAGCACCTGAAAAAGAAACAGAGGATAAATGAACACGTCTGTGCAGCTGGATTTGTAGCAATGCTCGACGTGAAGATCTGAGCGAACGTACCTGTCCGCTCTCCACATGCAGGGCGAGGACGACGTGATCCCAAACATAATACTGTGGCCAATCATCCAGCTCCCAGGCTTCCATCAGGTTGTCCTCAGGTCTGTAGTTCAGCTCATACCTGAGAGGAAGCAGCATCTGAATCAGCCCACAGAGGTTAAACTGCATCACTGCGCCTCACTGACGCTGCTCAGGTCAGCGCTGAAGTGTAAAGACACTCTGAGTGTCCTGAAGTCACCGCCTGGTTTTTGTTCAGCATCAGTGTTTGTCTCTCACTAACTCTGAACTACATCACAGTTTCAGTAAAACAGACCCGTGTACTGTCTGTGGCACAGGAACTAGGTCCTCCTTTCACCATCATCTTCTCACCGTGAGTCTATGTCTTAGTAAGTTTCATTAACGATAATAAAGTTATTTTACAAATTACAGACAAATCAGCTGATTCTGAATCTAGCAGCTGTTTTTTAAATGTGTTTAAACTTGGAGTGGCATGACATCATATACAAACACTTGTGTTCAGTAAACCAGTTTGAGATGATCTGGCCTGTGTGACATGGCGTGTTACCCTGTGTAAGGGGATTTTTCTGAAATACAATATAATCAAGTGTGCAAGCAAACGTGCGCACGGGTGAATGTCTCTGAGAAGACACACACACCGAGTGCAGGCTTGCTTGCTTTATTTATAGGGCAAAGCTGGTTACATAGTACTTCCTCTTTTGTGAGAAGTCGAAGAGAGGTTAGACGTTAGCTCAGTGCTTATCTGACATCACACACACTAAAGTAAGGAATGCATCATGTTCTCTTTAACAATAAGCTCGGTTATGTGAAAATATATGAACACTTGAATATAAGGCACACTTGATTATATTGTATTTCAGAAAAATCCCCTTACACCCTGCTGGAAGCAGCCAATCAGAAGATGGCACAGTGTGGTCGTGTGAGGACGGCTGTCTGGGAAACTCCCAGCAGATGAGCAGCTCCTGAAACACCAACCGCCATGCCACACTCTGGGTCAGACCTTCCCCCTCCCATCCTGATGCTCAGCTTCAGTCGTTTTGATCATGCCTAGCTGCGCTGAGCTGCTGCTCAGATGTTTGAGAAGGTGTATCTAATAAACTGGCCGTGGGTGTGTGGTTCGGTGGACTCCATGGAAATCTTTATGTGTTTCTTACCAGTGTGTCCCACACATGGCTTCTGGTCTCCAGATGAAGATGTTTTCTTCTCGTCTGTAAGCACAGACGGCGTTCGGGTCGTCATCGGGCAGCTCGGGGTACTCGGAGAAGCGCCCGTCATCGTGCGGGCTATGGACCAGCACAGTATACACCACTTCCTGTTTGTACAGGGAGGTCCTGAACACTCGCAAGACGGGCGGAGCACCGAAGCAAAACTGGAGACAAATAAACAGGTTTCAGTGGAGGGAACGCTGCACACCACGCAGAGACGTGACAAGTGCTCAACTTAGAGCTCTTTGTTGGTGTCAGACTGTTTCATGAAAGGCTGGTCACAGACTTATAATCTTTGCAGCACTGGTTCCTCCCATGTGTTTGGTGCTTTGGGGTCAGGTACAAGGACCAGACTGAGAATGAGTGAAAAAGCAGCCAATGTCTAAATAAAAGCTCTGAAAGAGCGTCAGGAAATCTGTAGGACTCTTTAGATCTCACAATCAAGTCTGGCTGTTGGAAGAAAAATGTAAGGAAGACGTTTACTCACCTCTACACCGAGGTTATTACACGGTAATAAAACTACACCAAGATTAGACCTTATATACAGCAAACTGAAACTGAACGAAATGAAATTTAATGAACATGAAAAACTAAAGTAAAATTAATTTACAAAGGAAATGTTTTTGTTTTGTGATTTAATATTCTGGTAAAATCACAAACTGCCTGATCAGGTCAGATGGAAGTTTTTATGAGGCTTCTCCTCATATTTGAATATGTATGCAGATAAATTACATCTTCTCTGGTCTTTTCAATAAATACAATAATGAGTCATAAAGACTAAAACTGAGACCGAAACTAATAAAACTAAATGAAAACGAAACATTTCCAAACTATAAAAACTAAACTGAGACCAGCAAACTGAACTGGAGACTTCCTGAAACTGAAATGATTTAAAAACAAAAAAGTCAAAACGAAATCAATTTTTTTAAAACTGCAATAACGTGGTCAGCAGAGTTTTGAGGGGCTGTGTGCTGGATGAACTGAACACTTGTGAATAAATAAAATTCCGTTTGTAATGAGTCAGCAGGCGTCTCATCAGTGTCTGCTGTAATAAAACAGCATTATCAAAGGTTAGTAAGTGTTTCAAATTTAAACTGAAGGAGTCCGTACCTGCTCGCTGTAGGCCTCCAGCACCTCCTCCACCCTGAAGGTGAAGCGGTACGATCCATACCTGGACTTCTCACTGAAGGCTGGAGAGGAGGCGAACTTCCTCAGGAAGCTCTGCTGCCTCCGGGCCTGCTCCTTGGTCCGATTTGGGAAGGTCTTCTTCAGGAGCCTCCTCTCAGCTGACCGGATCTCCTCTGGTGCAACAGCCAGACTCCACCACACCAGGGACGGCTCTTCAGGGTCCTTGACGCCTCCGTGTGGATCCTTGAAGCCTCCATCCTTCGAGATCCAGCACAGTGACCCTCTCTCTGTGTCGTGTTTCACATGAGAGACGTGAAACTCCGGCCGGGGGTACGGAGGGATGTATTCTTTATTTTTGAACAGGTATTTTTTCCTTTTCGTATCCAGGTAGGAATGTCGAGCTTTCGATTTCAGCTCTTTCAGCTTTAAGTGTTCACCCCTTACAAAATATTCTCTATAGTCTCTGCGGTTTTTTCGCGTCTCCATGATTAGATGAAGGATGGTGGCGATCATAAGACTGTAAGGACCACGCCCAGTAACTGAAGCTGGTTACCAAGAAATGAAAGTTAATTTTTACAGGTTTAAGGAGAAGTTCAAGAGTTTATCAAGCATTTCATCTTGCGAACAGACAAACAGACACTCATTTTAATTTTAATATACATTTTTCTTCTTTTTATGTTATATTTATTTATTTATTGTTGATTCATTTATTGTCACAAATCAACTCTAATTAGAATTCTGACACCAGGAACATGAGGTGAGGAATCTGTGTTCACCGACAGTCCGTGAAGGCATCGTGGACAGCGGCGGCCCCGCCGACGTCGCAGTCACATGACGAGGTGGACAGAAACAAACATGGCGCCGCGAAAGTAAGGAAAAGTGCTGGGTGAGTGTTTGTGAGCGGAGCGCTGGCCTTCAACCGCCGCCTCAGCCGCTCGGAGTGCCGGGCAGGAGCGGCAGGCCGACCCGCTCTCTAGCGTCACGCTTTAGTTGCGGGAAAACCGAAAAGCGCCAACTTTTAACGGCCTATTTTCGCTGACTCGTGTGGTCAGCTTGTTTCCATATCAACCGCTGCCCTCGCGCCGTGTGAGCTAACGTTACGTCCAGTGTGCGATGTTTCAGGCCGCTCACGCGCCTCTGTTTGTCTTTGTGTTAACGCAGAGGGCAGTTTGTTCAGGCCCCACCGCAGGACAGATGAGAGGAGGAGGAGACCCACCATCATCAGGTGAAGCAGGTAGTAGGCGTGGCCTGAGGGCTGTCATTCATTCTGCTGTTTGTTATTAAAGACGGAAACAAGCGGTTCGAAGGATTAAAGCTTCGTGTTTTGGGGGTGAACTGACCCTTTAAATAATCCCGCTGAACAATCACAAACTTAAATTATTTAATCGTGACCATCAAAGCAAACTTCAGACTCGTATCACACATTCATGTTTGTTTTCTCAGCTGCTGTGCAAAAGTCTTGAGCCACCGCTCGTAATTATTTGGGATTTTACTCCATTGGGGACTTTTCTTTACATTTAAAATCAAAAAATGTGGAAAGAAAAAACAAAGTTTGGGGTATGGAAAGTATGTTTGAGCCAGGAAGGTGATTCCCAAAGATCTATTAGCTGAAACTAGGTATATCTCAGCATGGTGTGCTGTGTGTTTTTAACAAAGAGGAGGAAGCTAGACGAGTGGAGGACAGAAGAAGTGAGAGGTGTTAACAGCAGGTGACAGTCATGTCCTTCAGAGAGAAGACCTGAGAGATCACTGAAGCCTCATCAGGAGTGGTCTCAGGGGAAGGATGGCTCTCAGGAAGCCATTCTTAAAGAAGGGAAACAGGTATGCCTCATCACACCTGAACTGGATTTAACATTAACGGACACAGGTCTGGTAGAGCGACCAATCAAAATCATGGTCCGAATGTGTGGAGGGGGTCAGGAGGGAGCTGCAACAGCGAGTGTCTACAGCCGTCTGTAAAACATGGTGGAGGCCTTGTCGTGGTCTCTGCTGTCCTTCAATCAGTGTGTTGATCTCATCAAAACTGAATTATCAACTCTATGAAAGTGCGGTCAGATTTCCACACGCCACCAGTACCATCTGGAAACATCTGACTGGCAGCAGCTTCGTTTTTCAGCATGAGGCTGATGCCAAACACACTGCAGGAGAAGCCTGAGGAACACCATCAGTCACAGATTGGCCTCGACTGAGCCCGGCCCTCAACATCCCTGAAGCAGAGTGAGATCATTCTGATGGAGAACAGGACAAAAAACAGAAACATCCAAAGAAGAGCTTTGAATGTCCCTCAGGACGCTTGGAGAATCATTTCTGAAGATTCCTCAGAGAGTTCGGACTGTGCTGGAGGATGAAGTGATCCGACCAATTATCGACTTCACCAATCCAATGATGATTGGAGCAGAAGACAGTGGTTGGGTGGATCCTAATGTTACGACTGTGGTGATATTTGAGATCAGAAACGACGTGTTAATAAAACCCTGTTTGGAGCTCGGCAGCCACATGTTTTATTACGTGTTTATGGAAGCAGTGGATCTAAAGATGATTACTAATAACTTTAACTCAATGATTTTACGGCTGGTTGGTTTATTATTTAGAGTTTTGTGTGTCTGCTGGCTGCAGTTACTCAGGAACAGAGCAAGATGGCGCTGAGGAAGCAAAAGCTCATCGACGTGGCCTCTGAGAACCAGAAGGAGGAGGACTCGCAGGAGGACGAAGCTGCAGACGAGCAGGTGAAGAAACGCGAGCGTCCTGAATGAACATGAGGTCGCTCTCGTGGAACCAGGATCAGTAAAGTCTGACTGATAATCTGGCAGCCGCATGAAAAACAACATCAGAACTGTTTGTCCTTTTTTGTCTCTGCAGGACGAGCTCTCGACGTCGCTGCTCGCCACGTCAATGGCGAGGGAGAAACGGCAGAGGGAGAGCAAATCCAAACCTAAAGGTGCAGAAGCATGGAGGTGGAATCAGGGCATTTCGGGAGGTTCAGGAACTGCTGAACCTGTTTCATTTTGAGGGTGTAAGCAGGACTTTGGTGATGAAGCTCTGTGTGTGTGTTTGCAGAGATGTCCGAGGACGAGATGATGGACTTGGCTCTGCGCCTGAGCGAACAGGAAGCCAGCGCCACGGCACTCAGGCGGCAGCAAGAGGAGGAGGAGGCCATGATGAGGGCCATCAAGGAGAGCGTGAGTACAGAGCTGGAGCAGGCGTGCACGCATCTGGGTTTTATTTCTGTCCTGTTTACCTGTCGGTCAGCAGCTGATGGCAGTTTGCACCAATCAGGGCCTCTCTGCAGAGCGCCGGCTCTTCTTCTCTAAGACGATGTTACAGATCTGCGTGAATCCTGACATTAGCATGGTTTACTTTTATGCGCTTCTGAGAGTTTCATTCATGTTCTTTAAAGTTAGCTAAAAGCTACAGAACAGCACAGATTACAATGCTAATCTTAGTAAATAAACAAATCAGAGTGAACAGACAAATGCATGCAGAGAAAGATGTTCCTGCTTTTCCTCTCACAGATGGTCGGCCAGACGCAGGCGTGCCGGACCCCCAAGAGTCCATCTCAGCCCACCGACGTTTCCCTCAGGCTCTGCTCCCGCCGCAAACTAGCGTACTCGAACGGGAAGACAACGCTCGCCATCGATCGAGGAGCCTCAGAGGACGGCTGCCTTCAAGGTAACACCGGCGTCCATCTGAGGTCAGACTTCACACCAGGAAATAAATATGAAAGGCACTGTTTCTTTGTTCCAGCAGGATCTGGAGACGGTGACAACGGGAATTTAAAGAGGAAGAGGAAAGCGGGGAGTCCTCTGCCGGAGATGCCAGACTTGTCGCAGACTCAGGTCTACTCTCAGGCGTCTCCCTGCAGCTCCGAGTCTCTGCCGGCTCTCCCCGACTCGCCGCAGGTTCGTCGTCGTCTGCGATCTGTAGGGAAACGTGCGTCAGAAAAGTCGTTTAAAGGTTCATCTCTTTGTTTCCTCCCAGAGCTCCGACTCCACGCAGATCCAGGACTCACAGCTGCATCGGTCTCCCGTCTTTCCACTGACGGGCTGCCGGGCGGAGGTCCGCATCGGCCGGCTGAGCCAGGACTTGCTGGACACCTGCAGGAGCTCCGGGTTCGTGCTGTGCTCTCAGAATGGTTCGAACGCCACCCAAAAGTCCCCTCGTCCCGAGAGCCCGACGTTCCCTGAAAGTGACGTCGCCTCATGTCCCAAAAGCCCCGCCCTGTCTGGCACAGATCCCGACAACAGCGACGAGATTGAGCCGAGCCCCGAGTGCGCTAAAAGCCCCGTGTTTGGCAGGAACGCTCAGCACGAGAGGTCGCCGAGCGCCCGCAGACCTCGAGACGCCGTGCGCAGCCAAGACGGTGAAAACTCAGGATTCACGTTTTCTTCTCAGGACAGTTTAACCCCCTCCGTGAGACCCACGTCCCCCGTGTTCCCACGAAGCCCCGGCATTCCTCCATCAGAACGGTTAGCATTCCCAGAAAGTCCCAACAGAGGACAGGCCGAGCCAAGCCACGCCCACTCCGAGAGCCCCGTGTTCGGACTGCAGCAGCAGAGGTGCGAGAGTCCTCCAGCCAACAGGAAGGTGAGCTCAGAGGTCGCAGTGCTGCATGCAGGGTCAGAGCGCGCTTTCCCTCAGCTCGATACATTTACGTGGATTCTCTGAAAGCGTCACGATGAGACGCTCGATCGTGTGCCTCACTGGTCCACACTGGGCACTCAGTTATTTGATGTTTATGTGACTTTTCAGACTCTTTTCTCTATTTTCGTTGCTCTTTATTGCAGGACGGTCAGAGTCGATTGGACGGGCTGAAAGCGTCCGAGTCAGGTAGGAAGGTCGCTCTGCTTTCGGACTGTGTGGACTGTGTCTGTTTTTATTGACGGTGTTTTTATTCTGGATTTCCTCGATGCAGACGAGCTGAGCGGGCGGGCCAAAGCCCCGAACCCGGCCGGGAGTCAGCTGACCAGCGATATGACGCTAGTCTGGTCTGACGGGGACGAGGACGTCACGGTACACAGCTGATCATTTTACTACAAGAACACAGCTCAGCTCGTCCACGCAGACTGCAGACGAAGACGGGCGATGTCTTCATCTCTGTCACATCATCTTAAAAATGTCGTTTTTTGCTTTTTTGTTTTTCCTGCAGCCGACCGGCTCTCCCAGCCCCGTCTTCCCAGAGGAGACGTCAGTTCATCAGGCGGAGAGCCCGGCGGCCTCCCTGAACCACGTGGCTGCTGCTTCAGGGGCGACTGGATCAAACTGCAGGTACGAAACCTCACGTGTCAGCTGTCAGGCTCACGAGACTCTGGTGAGTAAAAGATGAGGGGAGCAGGATGTTCACCTGTCTCACAGCCTACGTTACACCCACCCTCAGTCACCTGAGGTGGTTCATGCTCGTCCCAGCGCCTCCTCCCTGTCGAGGTTATCCAGGCAGATCCAGCTGGGCGATGTTATAAGTCTTTCATGGCCTAGAAATACCCTGAGATCCCCCGAGAGGGACTGGGAAGCTTTGCTTGAACGGACAGATAGATGGAAGTGTTTCCTTAGAAACAAACGAGGCGTGGCCTGAATACAGTCCGTAAACACGGGTCTGTGGGTTTTGTGCACGTTACTTGGATCCAGCTGTAACGTTTGTGCACACACAGACAGGACAGTGAAGTCCTGCTGCCGAACGAATCATGCAAACCAGTTTCCGTCTTCTCTCTGTCTGTTTGCAGCCTGCGTCCTCAGAGCAGCTCCAACAGACAAGCTTCACCTGAAACTTCTCCCAAGTCCGGCACAGAGGAGCCGCGGCCTGATCGCAGCAGGACGCTCTCCTCTGCCGGCTCTGGAGAGTCCGCCGACTCCACCACGGTTCACTACTACTGGGGCGTTCCCTTCTGCCCGCGAGGCCTCGACCCAGACACGTACACGCAGGTGGTCACGCTACAGATTACGATCATTTATAACGGACTCGTTTACACGTTTACAGCACAAACCCCGTAAACTGTTAGAAGACAGTCATGGTTCTGACATCAGTTCTTTTACTTCATGCATGAAATTCTGCAAAAATAATTAGTGACTCTTTCAGTAATTAAATGTAGTTTTGGTCTTAGATGTGACAGAAGTCAACATGGCCGACGTTTCAAATGTGAAGTCAGCGTGTCTACAAATAATCCCTGAAATGTTTAGTTTTTTTCTACTTGTGGAACTTTATGATGTCACAGAGGGGGGGGTATGGCTATTGTCAGTCAGAGAAGCCCCGCCACCTGCTGTTTACGAGGGACAGCCAATCAGAACAAAGTCATAAAAGGCAGAGACAGAGGGTGAACCGAGGGGCTGCAGAAGCCCCTGTTTAGGATAAAGAAGGATTATTTTGAGCTGAGAATCATGCAAAGCAGCTTTAATGAAGTCCAGGGATTGTTTCAAATTTATTTTATTGTGTAAAATAAATTTGTTTGTTTTTATTCTTAAAAATGTCAAAATCAAATCAAATCTGAGTCACTGTGAAATCGGTAACGTGATGCGTGTGTGACGGAGAATGTCGACCCGAGTATCATAAGCGTGTGTCCACTCGTCCTTCCTGTCGCCGCTCAGGTGATCGTGGCTCAGATGGAGGTTTACGAGAAGACTCTGAAACGGGCTCAGCGGCGTCTGCTGAGGAAGGCGGAGTGGGGCGAGGCCGTCCTGCCGCAAATGGAGGTACAAAAATGTCTCAGAAGATTACGTTTGTTTGCTTCTGTTCCAGATGTTTGAACACGTGTGATGTTTTTAGGAATCGCCGTCGCACGAGTTGCCCGCTGGATCGCCTCAGCGTCACACCGCTCGCAGGTAAAACTCTGCTCTCGGCCGTGAAGCGGCGTCTGCTTCGTGTTTGGAGGTTAAAGGAGATTTCCGTCTGATCTGACGAGGAACGTTCGATTTGTTCAAACTGGCTTTCAGACGAGGTCTCAGGCTGAGGAGCAAAACTCAGGATGAAGCTGCTGATACTCCGACAGCAGAGGAGAAGGAGGAGGAAGAGGAGCAAACGAAGATGGAAAACAAAGAGGAGGACGGGAAGAAGGATGGAGACGAAGAACCGATGGACGCTGAGGACTGTGAGGTTTGTCCAGGTAAGGATTTTGTCTCTGCTGTCCTCACGCCTGAGCCTGAGTTTAACGTTTTTCTTCAGACTTTCTGAATTTTCTGAGTTTATTTAAATAGAAGAAACTCATCAGATTGTCTCTAATCAGGAAGTTGAGACGCCGAGGCCGATGTGAGTGTAAAGGACCTGAATGCAGTGAGAGGAGTGAACAACGATGCTGTGATATGTTTGTGTGCTTTTATTATCTGTGTTTTCCAATAACGTTATTCTTCATGTGACCTCAGAGACGCAGCTGAGCGGCGACAGCAGTCAGGACGTGACGCTGGTGTGTGACGCAGAAGAGCAGGTGAGTCTACTCAGGTGTGCGGGAGAAACTCCCAGACAGGAAGTCAGGAGGTTAACTGCAGGTCCCAGCTGACTCCTCCTCCACCCGGGAGCAGCTGGCGGTCCTCGCTCTGCTCAGCCTCCGGTTCGTCGCGTGCTGCAGGACCTGCAGAGCAGACTGGGACCGCCGTCAGCGGCTCCTCTCCATCACGGTGGAGTTTGAGTCTGACAGGAAGGACTGCTTTCAACTGATTAGCAGCAACTAGACTTTCAAAATAAGAGCGTGGAGCTTGTCTGCTAGTAAATGGATGGTGTTAGAGAAGATACCTGCAGCACCGTCACAGTGACGATTTCATTGATGAACGTCGCCGTGTGTGTTCATCCTTTATATCTGAGCTCATGTGTTCTGATCTAACTGCGTTAAAGCTGATTGGCCGACTCTGACAGGAACTGGTCCTGAGTTTTCAGGGCAGCACGGTGCTGCAGTGGTTAGCACTGATGCCTCACGCTGTGGATGTTCTAGGTTCAAGTCCACAGGTCAGCACCACCTCTGTGAGTTTGCATGTTCTCTTCCTCAGAGACACGAGACCCTGAACTGTACAAGCAGCAGGTGGAGGTGCTGGGTGGGTTCGTGTGTGGCAGCAGTCAGTAAATAATGTGTTAAAGTGCTGAAATAATGTGAAAAGTTTGTCCGCAGCCTGCAGCTAAAACTCCGGAGATTCAGATGATCCTTCACGCTGATCCTCCCTCCAGGAGCGAGCCACAGGTGGAGGAGGTGGAGGCTGACGGTAATCAGACAGAAAAGCTTCATCTTCACCCTCCATGCTGCGTGTTTAAGAAGCTGAAGCTGTCATTTATCCTCAGCTCCAACAGGTGAACAGATGGAGGCGGACGTCCCCATCAGGAGCAGCGAGGGCGGCGCCAGTCAGCCTGCGAGCAGGGAGGAGGTGCAGGAGGACGGAGGGGATCCAGATGTGGAGGAGATAAAGGACCAAGCGCCGTCGCCCGGGCCGGAGCCGGCCGTCGTCCCCCGCAGCCCCGAGACCGCCGTCGACTGCCCGCTCTGCCAAGCGTCCTTCCCCGCGAGCAGGATCGAGATGCACGCCGCGTACTGCGACGGCGAGGTGGCAGTCGTGGAGGAGAGGAGGCCCAAGGTCGACTACATACAAGGTGAGTTGTTTTTTTTTAAAATCCGCAGAGTTCATCAGGAACTTTAATCATTCAAACGCAGCGAGCGGCTCGAAAAAGGAGAAACAAGAACAGCTCAGAGAAATCTGCGATGAAAGAAAACACAGAAGAAGAAAAACAACAAAGACGTCAAAGAACAAAATGATAAAACACTGCTGAAGGTTCATAGATCGGAAAGATGCTTTAACTGTCACACATACACTGTAGATGACAGAGGATGGTTTATTTTGTCTTACAGCAGCCACAGAGTCACTCAGTAACATAAGTTACATAATAGGAAAAAAGAAGAAGGAACGAAGGAGTAATAGAAATGAAATAAATCATAGAATAAACAGATATTTAAAATAAAGAAGCTTTTATATAATAGTGAAGTTCCACTGTTGTTCAGCAAGCTGCGATCATAAACCCGAGCTTCCATGATCGGGACGTTTGTTTTGGTTTGTCGTCATCGTGGAAATCTTTCGGACATATTCTGAAGCAAAACCTTTCCTCTGTGCTGCGTCTCGTATATCCGAGCCGATCTGCTGGAAGCTGCACTGTGCAGTCACACTCGTCCTGTGTGATGGTTTTAAATGATGATTCATTCTGCGTCAGCCAAATATATAAAGAACACAGTGCTTCACGTTTTGAATGAAATCGGAGTTCAGGCTGTGTCAAACTCGGGCGTGGCGAGCGTGGCGAGCGTGGGCGTTAGATTATCGGAGTAATTCACAGGTAGAAAATCAGTTCTCTCAAAATTTTTTATTCCAAACCTTCACATTGAAGCTAGTTGGATGCTTTTCTGTATCAGTGTGTCCGATTTTAAACCTAACAGTGACAAAACGCTGCCACCCTCAGGCCAAACTGGGAATTACAACATGAGTCACCGGTGAGAGTCAGATGTGGCATTTTGTGGTTTGATTTGTGGTTTCAGTCGGAGCTTTGTCCTCTTTAGTGTCACGGAAGACTCAGAGGAAGAGAACACACAGAGCAAATGCCGAAGACACAAATGACGGCGCTGACGTTGGCAGGTAGGTGTGTCTGCAGCGATGTCTACATTAGCTGCAAGAGCTTTGTTTTCTGATTCGCTGCTTTCTTCTAAATTAATCCAACAGGAACCAGGAGAAGTGCTACATCTGTCAGAGAGCCGTGCCTCTGAAGGACTACAGCCGACACACCGAGCTCTGCATCCAGCGCCACGGATCCAAGACTGCAGCTGTAAGCCGGCGACGCTCTGAAACCACACACCTGTCTGCTTGTAGCTTAGACAGTCCACCAGTTTAGTCTGCAACAAACCGCGATCAGCCTTTTTTTCACTGTGTAAACTCAAATCTGTTTACAAAGAAAGAGCAGGCACATTTGAGCCGCTCGTTTCAGTGAAACTTTAGCTCGTTATCTTGGTTTGGTTTCGTTTTTTTACTCTGGACCCACTTGTTTTTAAATTTCTATAGTAAGTCATGGAAAACCAAACATGCTACTGTGCAGAGCAGGGCGATATGGCCAAAAATATTTATCACGATATAAATTTGAAAATTTGCGATATAAATGACGATATAATTGATGCGAGACAAAATACAGCCCCACAACTTTACTAGCGCAAAAAACACCCATTTATTTTCACTTAAACAAGCAGCTGTTTTTTATATGCATTAAAGCTTTATAAAAATTTAACAGTGCAAATGCAAATTCCTTGCTGAAAGTTTAACCAAAAGGCATTTCCAGTGGAAATGTGCTGACATATCCTGAGCATAACCACGTATAATATCCACTGAAGTTAAAAAGAGGAGCTTTGCTACATTAAACTGCAGTGTGCCAAATAAAAAGCCAAATATGTATTTTTCAGACCGTAAGGTGCACGGGATTATAAGGCAACAAAGCAGTCAGATAAATCAAACTTTATTCAACTCATTCTTCTTGCTTCCTCCACTTCTGTACCTTTGATTCATTAATGCTGGATTCTATCACAGCTGCTCTATTCCCGTGTTGTTGCAGTATATGAATGACTAACCTCGTGTTGTGGATGGATTATCTCAGTTGTTGTCCTGACTGAAGTTTGGTCCGTTTACAGCATCCTGCCATGCGACTGTATTTGTCCCTAACTATCAGGAACCCTCACGTTAACTTTTATTGAGTGGAAAAGTGTTAGTGTTTGTCCTGCAGCCTCACTGTTTATGCTATTCTAACATAGCTGTGTTGCTAGCGATCACGTAGCACATCATTATATACCAGCTAGCCCAACTTCAGTAACCCTACAAGCGTCACTGCTGTTTAGTTTCCTGTCTTCATTTGTGTTGGAAGTGATAGCAGAGCTGTACGTTTGAATTTTTTCAGAAATCTCTCAGTCAGAACATGCTATATCATGTTTAGGTAACTAGCGAAATTAGCGAGCTAACTTCTGTTAACTTCCTGCTAACTTCTAACTCTGTTAAATGTAATAAATTTTGTTTTCATGGATGCCTGGAAGTTAAACTTCATAGTTACACCTGGTAAAGCAGCAATGCTGATCGTTTTATTAAAGATGAAAGAATTTAGACAGTTTTTAACTTTCAGTGATGCTGCAGTGTTCGTTTGACTTTGGGACCTGAAGTGGACGGAGTTTAGGACCCAGATTACTCCCAGATTTACGAGCACCTTAGTCCAACAAATACGACAATAAACCCTGTGCACAAGAAAATGCTAACTTCCTGGTTTGAGACCGGATGTGGGGTTGTGCATTTCCGGTAGCTTTACTTTGCGGTCAATCGCTACTGCGAAGATATACTCCAAAATCATGTCCAAAACTGGAAAACGGAAAGATGGCGTTAAGTTACAAAGAGCAGAAGGTGGGAACAGTCACCGCTGTTGTGTCATAAAAAAATCTAATGATCAATTTTGACGTTTAAAGCGTTTAGATCTCTCAACACAAGCAGAACTGCATCACTGCAGCAGAAGACACATCGTCCACATGCAGAAGCACATCTCTGTGTAGTGACTGGTCTCATGACAGGCAAATGTTCAGCATTCAAACTACAGGTGAACAATAGTCAAACCAGATGTTTCCCGTTATGTCGAGATCAGCTAGTCAAGTACACACCTACACAGCATGTTAACAAACCGTGAAAACAGCCACACAAAAAATGAATGATTGCTGGTAACGGTTTCTATACATTAGTATTTACGAAGGGTATGTTGTGACTTGCCTTCAAAATTATAGTCGTCCCTCACTATAACGCGGTTCACCTTTCACCTCGCTGTTTCGCAGATTTTTTAGTGCAAGTTTGCTTTTTTTACGTCACATTGTGTCCTGCGTCCTGATCGCTGCAGACGATCTCCTCCGTCTCTCCTGTACAGAATCGCTGCATCGATGCTAGCAGTGTGACTCTGCAGTGCAGCGCTGTATGTCCACGATGTCCACGAAACGTTTTGCACCGTCAAAAAATAAAATTGGCTACTTGAGTTCACCTCTCGCTGGTTATTTGTAGAACACAACACCCGCGATAAACGAGGGACAGCTGAGAAATATAACATTTGAATCCTTTTTCTCTTTTGCTCTGAGGCGCGGGGGAAAATATCGACAAGTCGATGAACATCATTTACAGATATATTGGGTAAATGCCCGAGACATCTGTAGAAATGTAAATCGCCGCTTGATTCATTCATTTGCTTAACTTGTTTTGGACCGTAAACCAGGCGCGAATAGGACACCGGAAACAAAGCTCCCCACAAGAGTTTCCGCACCGGACGTAGCATATGCTAACGTGCACATAGTCAATAACAACGGCCGCTTGCATGTTCTACAAAAAAAAAAAAAAAAGTTCTTTGGTGGGTATGTGACAGACAAACACCACCACTGAAGTGGGACCATCTTTACAAACCAATTCTGGATCATCCGTTTCACTCAACGATCCACTTTCTCCCTTCTCATTCTCCGTTACCACCGTGCTTTTTCGGCCATGTGCGCATGCGCGTTTTACCCATATTGTATCGTGATATTTCATTTTCTTATCGTTGCCTAACATTGTAGGCTGTGGAATGAGCTTCCTTTAGAGATTAGACAGGCCACTTCTTTACCTGCTTTTAAGTCACTCTTGAAAACCCACCTCTTTACTTTGGCCTTTGACACCACGTGAGATGTTGGTTTTTATATTTATTTTTATTTTATTTTAGTTGTTTTTAGGTGACTCGATGCTGTTTTATCTTGTTTTGTTTTAACATAGGGCTGTTTTAATTTTAATTTTATGTCTTATGTGATTTATTTATTTAATTTGCTATTTAACTTACTTTCTGTACAGCACTTTGTTCCTGTGCTGGGTATTTTAAAGTGCTTTATAAATAAAATTGGATTGGAAAATTGGATTGTACCGATATTACCGTGAACGGTATAATATGGCCCAGCCCTACTACTGTTTTGTAGTGTGAGCGGTGAGGTCTTTATCAGCACTAAAACATGTAAAACATGAAAATACAGGACCAATTGGACCCTCTGGCAGCCCTGCTCTGGACCCCGGGCCTTATGTTTGACACCCCCCTTTGCCAGATGGCTTTGGCGGTGTAGATCCACAGGTGACAGTCTGACAGGAAGCAGGATGTTCGTAGCATTTTTCCAGGAGAAACATCAAGGAAAATGTGTAACAGCAGCAAGCTTTTATTTTGAAATCAGACACCTGTTGATCCTAAATTACAGCAGGCTTTTGTTTTGTTATTCCTAAACTTAGTTTTTATTGTTTTTTGGTTATAAGCAGAGCAGATGGAGCAGGAGACAACAGACAGGGACATCATAGCTCAGGTGACGAAGAAGAGAAGCTGCTTGAAAAGCTGAAGAGTTTCAAAATGCCGCCTGTTGGTGTTAAAAGAGTAAAAGTTCAGTAAAGAAACTTAAAGATGTTTAAAAGTTGTTGTTTTCTGATCTTGCAGAGGGGAAATCTGCTGCTGGCTCTGGATCAGACGGAGAGCAGAGACTCGGGTACGTCATCGTTGTTGCTCTTTGTTTTTCTTCCTCTGAAACACAAAAATCTGAATGATAAAAAAAAGCAAAGGCTGTATATAAAAGATGGATGTAGCCCCATTACGGTGGTTTGTCATTTGATGTCGTTGTTTTTTGGGGGGTTTCCTGAAGGCAGAATTTGCCAGATTCAGATGAGAGCGTGGAGTGCTAAGCTATCGGCTAATGCTAGCTAGCTTTGTTAGCATGCTGTATGATTGACTGCATGGTTGTATCACAGATACCTGCTAATAGTTGCTGAATAACTAATTTGAAATCACCATGTTTGTAGCACAGAATCGTTGAACGGTCTGAGGCAGCCATGTTTTTACAGCCACGCCCCCAATAAAGCAGCCTGCAGGAACGTTGCTGAATTTACTGTTCAATACGTAAAGTAAAGGGTTTTTTTTTATTCTGAGCAGTGATAAAGAAATCTTCTCATTTATCGATTTATCGTGTGATGCTGCTGATGTGATGTCAGAGAGCCCGAGGCTCCGCGTGAGCGTTTGATTCAGTGGAAACGAGCTCACAAAGAAAAGACTGTCGGATCATTAGCTGTATGTATTATTGTTATTATTATGAGTTTATTTAGGTGATTTTCTTTAACTTACACAGAATAAAACAATGATGATAAAAAAAACAAAGAAAAGTAAAATAGAGTAAACACTGATGAGACGTTCCTGTGAGCTCAAAGCTTCCAGCAGAGAGGTCTGTTTGAGACGGCTGCCGTCCCTCACGCTGACCACCAGAGGGCGTCTGACGCTCATATCTGTTTTTGCTTCCTCGTTTTTCTTTATGACAGCACTGTCAGCAGGTCAAAGGTCACACAAGTGACATGTAAAGGAGCATGCTCAAAAATAAAAGCCTCCGCCTGTGGACTCCTGATGGGAGAAAAATGCCAGAGCCCCGAATGCTCTCTGCAGATCACAGGAGCTAAATGAAAACCCAAAAGTCTGAGTCACAGTTAAACATCTTCAGCGACAACTCGCCGTGACCTTCGTGCAGAGCGGAGCGTCTCGCTGTCAGACTTTGTCTTTTGTTTCTGTTCTCGCTGGAATTTGTTTTTCCGAGGCGAGGCCCGCGCCGGCCTTGGCCTTGTTGCAGTGTAGTCTAACGAGCTTAAAGGGAGGAAAACACGAGGAATGAGTCTCAGATGTCCACGATAAACGTGTCCAAAGCTAAACGCTCAGCGCTCAGGCTTCAGACTGGGATGGAGTCAACTTATAATCTCTTTATTTAACTTATTCAGCAAACTGAGCCGCGCTTCACTGAGCAGTGATGAGCTGCTCGTCACGTTTCAGCAGCAGGACTCAGTTACAGCCCTCGTGTTTCACAGGCGTCCTAAATCAAACAGTCTGGCCTCCCGAAGGTTCACCGTGAAGAACTTTCTCACAGATTTGAACCCTGAGATGAAGTTACTGAGTGGAGACTTTGATAGTTGTGGTATAAAGTCTTTTGTTATGATGATTATTGCGACTCTGATGTGACTGATTATAGATGAAGCTCCAGGTTTTGTTCTTCTGTTATCAGCGTTCCCGTTTCTAAAAGTCAGGGACACGGGGTCGGGATGTTTCTAGAAACGGGGAAAGCTGTTGTCCTGCTGATGTGATGTCACCGCTGAATCAGGGTTCATAAAGTCACGTTTTCCTGCCTCGCTGTGTTTCTGCAGATGCTGGCCCGTCTGGATCCAAAGTCCTGCCCGGGTAAGGCGCCTTTAAAACAGCTCTGAGTTTGAAGTCCAGCTGTAAAGACACCTGAAGTCTTCCTGCTACACCCTGTTTGTTCAAGTTTTAGACGCCTGAAATCTTCTCTGTCTTCATTCTGTCAGTGATGTCATCGATCTGCGGGATGATGATGATGACGAGGAGGAAGTGTCAGCATTCAGGGTCAGTAACTCTCCCATCAGGTCCTTCACACCCATCTCAGAAGCCGCCGACTGCCTTATCGACTTCAAGAAACAGCAGCGAGCCAAGAAGCCGTACCAAAGACGCCGATGAGGGTGGAGCCTTAACTGGAGCCCACAGCGGGCTGAAGGACATTTCTGCAGATCGAACTTTTGAGTGCTGAAAGTGCGTCGGGCTGACGCTGAAGATGTCTCAGTCTACCTCCTCATGAACATTTCCTTTATGTTACTGTAGCTTCGCTCAAACATGAAATGAAATTAAATGTTGGATTTTCTGCCTTTGATTTTCTGTCCTGTCGTCATGGATACTCGTGTGGAAACAGCGGGTTAGATGCGCTGAGGCGCTGCTCACTGCATTTACAGGTGAGGCCGAACCAAAGTACCTGCAGTTCCTCTAGTGGCCACATGAGGCGGCAGTGAGTCAGTCCCCATAAACTCTCACAGTACAGTCGAGTTTTCAGCTGATCGTTTCACTCGGTTTGCTTGTGTGCGCTGGCCTTCGGTGAACATTCTGCTCGCCGTGCTCTGACACACCTTTGTGTTGCTGAGCGACTGGGATGGGCGGGATTAGAAATGAGTCCGTCAGAGGGACGCCTCAGGTTAGAGAGGCGAGGCTGACGTGGTCTGGACAAAGGAGGAGAAGAGGGAGACCTCGGAGCTCTCTGGGTGTCATCCAGAGAAGGATAGGCTGGTTATGGAGGCAGGTGGTGACCTCTGAGGTCACTGAAGGAAGAAGTGCTGAATGTGGCTGTGCTGAAGTCGTGACTGAGTGATTGTGTCAGCGCAGCTCAGAGTTTCCTAGATTACCCAAGAAAAACACCGCAGAAAGTCCGGTGTGCCCTCAAGCAAGGGTGTTGTGCCATCACAGTTGGTGCACCTCAGCAGCATCAGACGGACGGGCCTGCAGCTGGTTGGGTGAAGGTGTCTTTTGGACCAGTCTTTTCCTTCGTCGTAGCTCAGAAATGACACTACAGCACCAAACTGCATCTGTCATCGCTCCAGGAGAGTGACACGCCACGGCATCCAGACCTCAAGTTCCTGTAACAGTAACATCGAAGACTTCCTGTAAACCAGAGGACACCACGGTTAGAGAGGTTTGCTCCACAGGTGAACTCAACAGTGTCGGTGCTTCAGTCGAGTCCCGCTCTGTGCATTGTTTCCTCGATCAAAGATGGACGAAGGCTTGTGATGTCACTCGCTGGTTTCTGGGTTTTGAGGCCTCAGCGTCACCATTTTGGCTGCTAACCTGTTCACCCGCTGTTGGCAAGCTAGCCCTTGCATGGTTGTTTAACAGCAGACACAGTACCTGCTGAGTAGCACACTGAATAAACGCCTAGCATGAAATATTAGTTCTCAAATAATTTAAAAAAGGCTCAACAGCACAAACACGCTGCAGAGGCCCAGGGAGTCCTGCTAGCAGCCTGTCAGTCACAGAGGCCACGCCCCCTAGCTTTGAGGAACAGGCTGTCTGTAAAATCCGTCACCGCTGGAGCCTCGAGTGGCGCCGGAGGAACTGCAGTGTTATGTGCATTATTCTTACTCAGCCTCCAAACTGAAGCTTAAAGAAAGAAAAACTAGAAGTGCTTTGACTTGTTTGTCTTCACAAGACAAAAATGATCAAAATCAATATTGTTGTGAATGTTTTCTATAAAATCTCATAAACGAGTGTTTCCTGTTCTGCACTGACTCGTCCTGTGTCTGAACACTGAGAGTTTCTCTCTTACTTTGCAGTGAAAGTCAGTTTACTGATTATTCCTGATGTAAGTGAACGCAGCACTGATGAGTTATATGAAAACATCACCGTCCTGTAAGATCTTTCTGCCTCATTTTCACCTCTTTTCACCTCTCACCACAAAACACTTGAATCGAACCTCTTCCCATTTCTTTGATGAAAACAGACTTAAATGAACTGCGCTGAACTCCGAACACTTCGTGTCCTTCATCGTTCGTCCTTCACATGATCTCTGCACCTTCAGGAGGCCCCAGACGACCTGTCGTCGGGTTCATTTGCTCCAGCCTTAGGTTTCAGTTTCCTCGCAGCATTCTGTGGCCGCTGTGTTGAAACATTCGCTGTCTCAACGCTGAGCGAGTTGCACCACCAGGCGAAAGTTTAGAAAGAATAAAGGCGCAACTTAAGTTTGGATGAAGAAATGAGCTTCTTAGAATAACGAGCAGCACAGGTGGAGCCGGGGTTTCTGCAACTTCCTGGGTTTATTTAGTGGACAGGTTCTCTGAAACGAGACAAAGAAACCACCGAGCTGCTCAACGATGAGTAACACATCAGTGAGTCACGTTCTTCATACACCACCACACAGTCACCTGACAGCTCCAGCTGTGACCTGACCGATGTATGATGAGATGTATATAACTTTATGTGTGCAGGAATATCGGTGTGTGTACTTTAAGAGCTTTTACTCTGAAAATATTCACAGGATCAAGGTGAAATGTGACGTTTGTGTACTGAAATAAGTCAGCTGGTTCACAGGAGGTTTTTCTTGCTCATTTTCTTATGAAACATTTCTTTTTTCCAGAAAAGCAGGAAAACTGTTAACGCTTCTGTATTCTGGCAGCTCGGCTCGAGCTCCTGAAGCCCACCAGGCCTGACTCCAGGTGGGTCAGTAGCCGCATCTCGAGGATAACAGTCTCCCGTCCTGCTGGGATCACAGGGAAAGCTCGGACATTCAGGCTCAGGCGTCTGGGCACCTCAGGTGTTGTGGGCGTGTCCCAGTGGCAGCTGGCTCTAGAACGCCTCAGTGGAGGAGGTGGTGGGAGGCGGAGGTGTGGTTGGATGGAGTTGAAGTATGCCAGAGGGAATGAAGCGCTGTTATTGTTTTACCTAGAGACAGCAGTCCGGCCGTTTTATCGGATTTGCTGCTTCCAGGTGTCAATTTTAAACTAAAACCGAACAAACTTCTTCACGTTCTCGAGGAACACTCGACCCTCGTCAGACGGGAACATCTGCCTCCTCGGGCTGCTGGACAATAAAACCACAGAGAGTAAAACCAAAGTCTGGTTGTTACGCACCAACTCCAATAAGTCGGTACAAGTGTTGTAGCAGATAAGAGCTTTTTTGGGCTGTTCCTCAAAGAAACCAATGTCTCCAAGCCATACAACAATGTGGGGGAGAAAGGTTGTGCCAAAGAAAAACACCAAAGAGATAAAAACCAGAACTAAACTGAGGTTTACTCTAAGAGGAAAACAAAGAAAAGAAAGTGCTACTCCTCAACTCACAAAATAAACTCAAACATTACATGCATGAGATGTGCAGGGTCCCCCCCCCCCACAAACCTTACACAACAAATGAAAAGATCCAGGGCAGCTCAGCACATGTGCCACCTCTAGCAGCAGAGAGCCACCTCTAGCCACAGGTGAGTTCCTTTTATAAGGGCGTCCTCACTCTGGAGCTGGAGATTCCCAAACTGTCACCAGCCTGCAGTCTGTGTATGTAGGAAATGGCAAGCAAAAGGAGGGGGGGTCGCAGACAGCTTCAGACACTTAACACTGCTTTTAGTTTCCTGAAATTCGTTTTGACTCACATGCTGCCGTCTGCCTAAATCCAGAGAAACACTGATATTCACGGTGAAGTTCAGCTGTGCAGGAAAAGCTGGAGAAATGAATGGGAGGAGTTCGGCCGGCGCTCCCATGAAAGGTGACTGCATGTTGGATTTCATGACCTATTTGCCCCCAGTGACAGATGCCCCCCTCCCTGAGCCTGGTTCTGCTGGTGCTTTCTTCCTGTTAAAAGGTGAGTTTTTCTTTCCCACTGTCGCCCATTTGGGGTCATATGATTGTTGGTGTTTCTCTGGAAATATTAAGAAATAAAACTGTTGCACAGCACTGTGTTTGCAGTAACTCAGCAGAGATATGAGAAAAATGTAATAAATAAAACGTTATAGAAACAGGACATTAAGAACATCAAACATGAAAGAGAGAAAAGAGAAAAACGTGATAACTGATCCACGTGACTCGGATTCATTTTAAATCACCAATAATTAATCATTTCTGTGTGTGTGTGTGTGTGTGTGCGCGCGCGCGTGCGTGCGCGCGCGTGTGCGTGTGTGTGTGGGTGGTTTCATACCCTGGAGGTTGGTTAAACTGTTAAAAGTGACTTTTTGACCTGTAATCCGTCACGAGCAGGTCAAACGTGAGTGATGTGGAGTCCTTTTGGTCCAGAAACAGCTCCGGTCACAAACTGTTTTATGTGTTTTTGATGAGAGCTCAGACGGAGAGAGCAGCAGGAACATCACAGCTCCACAAACACGCTGTCAGTGATTGAAGCGTGGGTACAATTACGCAGAACCATAGAGAACTTCAGAACTTTATATGTGCCTCCGTCATATTTCTACATCACCACCGTGTGTTAATACAAGTAATACAGTTAAAGATGTTCCACGTAAAACACGCAGAAACATCGGAAACTCTCTGGCACGACCCCAGCATTTTTACGCGCGATCAGCTGTAGATCCCTCGTGAACAGCGGGAGGTCGCCGTGTTGCGACACGAAGTGGGTGTAAACGATTCCCAAAATGAGCACCTCACGCGCTCTCCCTGCCTCTCATTCATTAAGGAAGCTCAGAGCTGTGAGGCTGAGCGCGCGGAGCCGGACGCAAAGGTGAGTCTGAGTTCGCTTCACTGTCCGTGGCTTTTTACGCAGAGAGGATGAGGAGTTTGCACGAGTGTCTGCATCAGTGCGAGCGGCTGATTGGTGACTTCACCGCCCATCCTGTCTCACCCTGAGACCCCCTGCGTCCTGGTAAAGGACCCCGAGCCGCTGTTTTGTTTTTTTGTCACTAGCCCGGTCTCTCTGACGGGTTTGCGCTGCTCAGTTAGAACTAGTCAGACTTGTTTCATGTTGCCTTCGGGCGCAGCCGGAATCTGATCATTGCTGTTATTCTTCATATCGACCTCTCCGCTGGGTCACCGCACAGTCTCAGGAACCTGTCGGCGCGATGATGCAGGCAGTTTAACTTGTTTCAAAATAAAAGTGCAAAGGAATCAGAAATTTTTACGTCACTAATGAGGTGTCACCTGAAAAATATGGGGCGTGGTTTCAGAATTGACAGGTGTGGAGAGCAGTGAAGCTTGCAGGTTTACCTGGGAGCTGTTTTTTTTGTTTGTTTGTTTGTTTGTTTGTTTGTTTGTTTGTTTTACTTTGTAATGTGATCTCAGAGGCTACTCCACCCAAAAACCCTAATCCACAGGAGGTCACGGGTGTCACAACCTGATCCCTGCTCTAGTGTAACTCAGTGCTCTGCACGGGTTTTTAAATTTACTCAATTACTGG